CATGTGCTATGTTTGGTTGGTGCTGTTAATGACGGTCAATGGCTTAATGCACAAGTTTTAATTTTTATTATCCTCTCCAGCATATACATACATAATAAAAATAACATAGACCCAGTTAATACGGAATTTGTCCAAATGTCTCGAGTTCCAAATTATTAAAGTTATACTTCCATCACTTTCCATTATGACATCATAACAATCTCCAATACATATAGTACATTGATACTACAAAACAATATATTAGATTAACCCACTACATTGATATTACATAAATATCTTCACAACCAATATAGTAGCACGTTTTATATAATTTGGATAGCGATTTTAAAGTAAAAGAAAAAAGAGTTTGCCTTATGACTAGCGATGGGGTGAAGTAGAAAGATATCTTCGCAATGAATATAGTAGCACTGCTGTTACATGTGTAGAATTAAAAAAAATGATAAGCCAGCCTTTCGAAATTTTATTTTTTAATATATACTCTCTCTATTCTAAAAAATAGTCATTCTCGTTTCTAAAAAGTCAATAAATTTTAACTTTAACTAAATAAATTTAATAAAATATTAATATTTATAATATATAATTAATATCATTAAATAGATCATTAAATATACTATTGTAATAAATTTATTTAGCAATATAAATATTGCACGCATGTTCTGCGAATCTAATCAAGAGAAAGTTTGAGGCGACTGTCGTAGTGACTTGCTTACCGGAGCGAGTAAGCCGACCTAATAAGAAAATAAATAAATAAAGGAAAAATAAAACTGTCACACACACGACATGACATGACATTGAGTAAAGACAAATGTGGGCAGAGGAGGCTCCCCAACCCCGAGGAAGACGAAGGGCAGCCCAAGGACAAGGCAGGCGGCATAAATTGGGAGAGGAGAGTCAGCCGAAGGCAGTTGCGTAGCGCTCCTCAGGCACGCAGCAGGCCATTCGAATGTGACAGGGCTCCCCCTTCACTTTCACCTCGCTCTTCAATTCTGCTCGGAAGCTAGATAGCTGCCCCCTCCGTTCCTCCAGCTCCCTCCAGTCCCCGGCGTGCGGCCTTTGAAGAACCAGTGAACAGGTATGGCTGGCTCATGCTCCTCGTGTGATCTGTTGGCAGTTTCTAGCTAGCTGCTGCCTCGCGTGATCTGTTCAAGTAGTAGCGAGTATTTGCTCTAGGTGAGTGAAGATTAGATTTCTGTGGGAATTCCTAGTGTAAGCTCTTCCAGCGGGGAAAATGCTTCCGATTTGCTGAGCGAATCTGGATTGTTCTGTGCCATTTCTCCCAAATCTTCGCTCTAATTGTTTCTCTCCAATCGCTCCCTTCTCTCGCTGTGTTGCCGATGCCTGAGGGGCTCAACAAATGAAGCACTAAATGGTTCAAGTGCATTCTCTCAGCAAACGGGTTAAGTAGTTCTTTGCATCTTGCTGTGCCTAATGGAGGACCTCAACTAATCTGGTTCAGAGTCCTCCAATCCGCCTCCTGAGTTTTGGCTTGCAATCTTGTGGTACCAACTACAACATCTGGCCTGCCCCAAAAGTCAAAATCTTGTCCTAATCCAGGAACGGAAGTACTGCAAGCCTGCAGCTCTTGTCGTCTGCACTCATTTATTTCTACTTCTTCTCAAATTCGTGTTTCAGTTCTTGTTTGTTTCAACCTAGTTTACATATTTATAGGATGAGTTTGGTGAACAACCCCGCATGATTTGGAGTGGAGCCGCATTTTGATTTGTTCATTGTCCCCTAAGGAATCCAGTGACTGAATAAAAAGTAAGCAAGAATCCAAAGGCAGAAAGGGGTCAGGGGATGGTAGGTTCTTTGCTTTGCCATCTTGGCATCCCATGAGCAAGAGAAGTGATCCTGGTGCTTGCCACCAGCTGCTTCTTTCCCTTGCTGCTTTTGGTGCTGAATCATTTTGATCAGCACAACTTTCTTTCCTAGGAGATAAGGCAGGCCATCCAGAGTGGCCAACACGATACATGCATGTTCTCAAAAGCTGGCAGCACTATCAGTGAGCAAATTGGGGCAGAAAGGAGGGGTGGAAAAGGGGTAGCAACCGAGCAGCGTTTGGGCGTAGTGCATCTTTACACCTCAGTTTGTTGGTGGGATCCTCCACTGAAATTTCCTTTAGAAACCACGCAGACGGCACATCGTTTTCCATGGTCGCATTCCATTAACTCCTGTTATTTCAGGGTCACCACAACTTCAGATATTGTTGAGATCTCCCAATCTATGTGAAATAATCGTCAGCGCTACATTAATTACAGCGTTAAGTTCACTGACCATTGATGCATTTCTGACAATGCAGTATGTTTTTTGCTGTGTAAATACTGAACAGTATCATGTAATTTCAACCTAATGTTCTACTCTGCAAAAAGGAGTATAAGAAAGTGTGGCACAGTGGCACTTATATTTATGGATAAATGTTGTGTGGGTATCATATTTCTTCAAGTAAGACCAAATATCTGCTGGATTAGCATGTGAGGATATATCATAACTAGAATTAGGAATACAAGTGGGTTGACACTGTGCTATCATGGCGGTTGAATCATTGAAGCTTATCACTCTCTTTGTTTTATGAAACAGCAATCATAGCCACAATTGCTGCAGTTTTACCCTTCTCTTCCTGCATCTGCATACTACTAAAAATACCATGATTTTATTCCTCTTGTTACACAACCTTTTCCCTTACTTTTAACCACTGCAGTACACATCCAGCCTTTCACCACCCAACAGCTTTTTGCTTGCTTGATCCAATTGTTGCTTCAAGCTTTGCTCAGCTGCCTACATGTATGAAAACTAACCGGTCGTTGTTCTTCCATCTGACAGAAACAGATCATGCCTTGCGCCACCGAGCTCGTCCATGGCGAGGGAGGCACGATCAAGGTAGGTACAACGGGTACCATCGGCTCACTCATGACGAGAGAACTGGACACCATCAAGGTGGCGCCACAGGCAGCTGCGGGCACCCCTCGCCTGAGGCACCAAGGCTGTCCGGTCTCAGTGCTATGTGGAGCCACTACTCCTCGGAAGCTCACGCTGAGGAAAAGCTCATCAGACATCTCCAGCAGCAGCAGCAGCAACAACAGAACCGACCGCGTGAGCGCCGAAGAGGCCTGCAAGCCGAGGAGGGTCTCCCGGAGAAACACCTTTGACTCACCGATGCTGCGGTCCGACGGCGCGCTCGTGGACAGGACCCCGAACGCCGGCAAGGCGAAGAAGAAGGGGAGTGTGTACGGCGTCGAGGTTGTGGACGTCAAGTGCGGCAACCCGATGAGCAGCCGGCTCAGGAAGCTCGGCTTCTCCAAGCTGTCGGAGACGTTTGCGTAGCTTAATTCGGTGGAGTGGAGCTTGGCAAGGGCAAGGACCATCACCAGCATCTGAATTGAAGGATCTGCTTGCTGCTGCCCTTTCCCTGAGGACATATGCCATGTGCCGGATTTAGTGCAGCAATCATCCATCCACCTGACATTGTCTATTCGTCCAGCCTTGTAAGCTGCAATCCAGTTTGCATCTAGTAGTACTCACTTTTTTAGCTGTTCTTTTTTTTTTCTATGTGGAAACTGCTGTTGCGCTCTGTGTATGACAAGTTTATCTATGGAAATTGGAAAGCGACTCCCAACAGACATAATAAGGTCGTCATGGATGACGTGTTGAGGTAAGGATGCACATTGACCTGGTCTGTTTAAAATGCCACTGCATCTTAGCCAATGCTCCATGCCAGTATGCCACGAAAACTTTGTAGAACGTTTAAGTAGACTGAAACATTGAATTCATGTAATGTAATGATCTAAGTCGGGCTAACATTCAAGTTGTTCATACATGGTTGAACCCAATGCCCAGGACAATATTAGTACCAGACAAACGCATGGATTGTGGCGTGCTTCCTGGTTGATGGCAAGAACACCGTGCTTCCAAGGGCCATCGGCAGGCCGACCACAGACAACAGTCAGCACGAGATACATACCACCAACTCCTCTACAGTAGACACACAGAGAACATGCTAAACAAGGTCCACATGCGGACATGCCAAAGCCATGGCACAAGTATCCTTTTTCGGCCAGGTTGAGGCACAAGGCAGCTTGCCAGATACTACTGTATGTCCCAATGTGGCCTCGAGCAGATCAACCTTTCGCACACACCCTTTATTTTTACCCATATATCCCCTCTTTTCGTATGAGCAAACTCATTCCTTGTCACATTTCTTGTATGCGCCTATTTTTTATAAGGGACAGCAAAAGCTTTGCCGCTATTTTTATTAGAAAAAGAAAAATAAAACAAGTGCCAACCTAGTTTTTCGAGTGGAAACCGGGCAAAAGAAAAAAAAACACAACTAGGGATTTGGTGCTACGACTACGACTGATCAACTACCAATTCCATGCAACTCACTGAGCCAACTAACCTTGCTGCTGAATTGCTGAGTCACAAATTGCGAAGAAACAGTTCAACACCTCTTCCTTCACTGCACTTCTGCAAAAGAATGTTGGAATCAGTTGAACTTGCATATTCAAGATCAATTAGAGCCACCCCAAATAGTAGATTCCCTTTATTCATTGAGATAGTCACCTTGATGATTTGGAGTATTTGGTGCATGAGAAATGAAGTTATCTTCAGGCAACTGCAGCACTCTATTTCACGTAGCAGAAATTCCTTCCGCCCTGTAGTTATAGATGAATGGCCGGAACTTCGGTTGTAATTTTCTTTTTGTATCTCTCCTGCACTTTCTGAACATCTGCCGTGTGGTCTTGCACCATCAGATTAGAAAGCAGCTGAGAGATTCATAATTCAGGCAGTGATCGTCACCTGATTTTGCAAAACTCTTAAGGCTAAGCATCCATATAAAACAAGCGCAGGGCCAAACAGTTGAGTTCAGCAGCGGCGTGTTGACTCATCCACTTCCTCAGTACTACTACGGCTCAGTGCCCTTCCCAGCCTCTCGCTCTCCCGACGCGCACGCCCTCCGCGCTCCGAACAAGAAGCCGAGCCCAGACGCAGAGGAGGAGGAGGCCATGGCGTCCATCCCGTGCACCTTCCAGCTGAGCACGGCGGTGTCGAGGAGGGTGTCGCCGCGGGCGGCGGCGCAGGGGAAAGGCCAGGGAGGAGGAGGAGCGGGGCTGAGGACGCCGCTGCTGGGCGCGGGCGCGGGGCGGCGGGGCCTGGGGTGGCTCCGGCCGTCGCGGCTGAGCCGCGTGGTGCCGGCGAGCGAGAGCGGGCGTGTGGGTCCCACGTGCTGGTTCAAGTTCGGGAACAAGGACGCCGAGGCCGCCGGCACCTACGGCAGCCAGGCCCGGGACGACTTCGACCGCGACGACGTCGAGCAGGTGTGCCCGCAGCAAACCTCTTAAGCTCCTGCATTCTCATCTGCAGGGACGCATTCGCATCCTCTGTGGATCGCAGAGCAAATCTAAACCCGCCGTGGCGACGGCGATTGGATTGTGGTTGCAACTGCAGTACTTCAACTACATGGGGATGCTGGCGGTGGAGGGCACCTACGACAAGATGGAGGCGCTGCTGAACCAGGACATCCACCCCGTGGACATCCTCCTCATGCTGGCGGCCTCCGAGGGCGACCGCCCCAAGATCGAGGAGCTGCTCCGCGCCGGCGCCAAGTTCGACGTCAAGGACGTCGACAGCCAGACGGCGCTCGACCGGGCCACCGACGACACCAGAGAGTTCATCCTCGGCTTCGCCGCCAAGAAGGCCTGAACGATCACGTGCAGGTCGTCGATCGTGCCCGATTCTTCTGGGCATTTGGCTGGATGTAAAATTTTCGTTTTCTGGAATTGGTGGAGTGTTCAACCGGGAGGTTTACAAGCTGTTTGTTTGCAGAGGTAGTAGCTTTCCGTAGTCAGCTGTATTCTTACTGAATTCTGAGGGTGTCTTGCGACCTGCCAAATTGCTCAATAAGGTCATGCTTCGTTAAGAGCTGGTCATCATAAAATGAAATCCGAAATTCAAACAAACTGCATATCAATCATAGGGGGCAGGCAGGTTTGAAGGAAATCAGAGCGGCTGATCAATCGCCAGCTTATCACTTGATGTGTTCACTGTTTAATAATGCAGAGATTGGGTTCAAGACAAACATTGGTCAGCATGAACCGAAGTGATCATCACCTGAAAACCAGTACAGGCTCAAACAGAACAAATGGGCTCGGAAAGTTTATATGTCACTGCCAGCACTGCATAAACTGTGGAAACTTCTAAGTACTCGTTTTAGCTTTTCTAGAAAAGCCAAAACCACCTGTAATTTGGAACGGTTGGAACGGAGGGAATAGCATTAAGATCTCAGATGGATACGGTACCTGTATACACGGAATTAGATTTCTGAAGAAGGCTAGGAAAGGGAAACGTTTTATAGACTGTCAGCCGCAAGCTAGCAACTGACCGTCATCAGGCACCATAACATTGCGAAACGATAATTCTCCCAGCTGAAGCAAAAATGCCCATGCAGATTGCAATGCCTTCATGCTTTTATTCGTCAGACTCTGCTCATGGTACACATAGTTTTACATAGGTTTTCTCGCCCAAATATTCAGGCCTAGTTTAGTTCCAAAAATTTTCACCCCAAACTATCACATCGAATCTTACGGCACATACATGGAGTATCAAATATAGATGAAAAAAAACTAATTGCACAGTTTGATTGAAAATCACGAAACGAATGTTTTAAGACTAATTAGTCCATGATTAGCCATAAATGCTACAGTAACTAACATGCGCTAATAATGGACTAATTAGGCTTAATAAATTCGTCTCGCAGTTTCCAGCCAAGCTATGTAATTAGTTTTTTTATTAGTATCCGAAAACCCCTTCCGACATCCCCGAAACATCTGATGTGACATCAAAAAAATTTCATTTCGCAAACTAAACACACTTCTGAGGGGGAACACTGTCACTACGCCCGCACAACGAACACGATGTAAACCTCTATAACCCCACTATGAATCCACCCAATCCTTATTCATTTCCTGTTGTCCATGTCCATTTTGCTATACTTTTGTATGGTTTGTCAATGTCCCTAACTACAAAACGTTGGGTAAGTGGCAGCTGTACTTCAACTTGGGATGGGAGCGGAGGGCTTGCTGCAGAGCTGTATCCACAGTCACACCCTCACGGAACAATTTGTCATACATCAGGCACATGAACTGAGCCAGGTACTCCTCATCATCCATGTCATGGTTGCCACCTTTCTCCACGTCACTGTCCTCCCAGTCACTTATAGGGCTAACAGGTTCAGGCTCTGATTCGTCGGCTTCTTCATCCCCGATGACAAACTTCCCATTCTCTAGGCTTCCATTCACATCCATCCCATGGTAGGCTATTGTCTGGGAATCCGGAGGCTCGATGGACGACGAGATGACTGCTTTGGCGCCACAATCCATGAATGCCTTGACCAGGCCATGAGCAAGGCCATACTTACCACTGCATACAATGATCCTCTCCCTCCATGCTCCAACCTGGGACATCATATGTGCAAGGAGTCATAATGCCCTAAGCTTATTGCTGTGTGAAGAAGCACAACAGATAAGAAAGACAGGGCAGTGTGCAAGTCAAAAAACATGTTGAGCCCTACTTTTAAGCTGCCTTGGCCCAGGAAACAGGTTTCTATTAAACTTGCAGGGCTTAAAAGTAATTGAGCCCAATCACAGGTATTTGGATACGAGGTGGTACCAGGGTCTAATAAAAGAGGTGCTCAAAGCGCACAAGGATAGTTTCATGGCAGCAATTTCATTTTAGAGACAGTTAGCGAGTTGGAAGAGTGACTGCAGAAAGAATTCGATTTGGCTAGTGTTTCTCCATGGCCAAATTTTAGCTAATCAAACCAATACGGTTGTGTTGGCATGACTTCTACTTGAATCCCTTTCACAATTTTCCTAAGACACAGATTTGGTTGCCATGCTTGGCAACTTTCACAGCTGGCACATCATATGAGGAATCCGGTTGTGGCCTGAACATAATATGAAGAGCAGTGCATTCATGCTACGCAAATTGACTTACCATCCATCGAACATCTTCAGGTGCCATGTGAACAGCAGGCACTGTCCTCCTAAACATATATGCGCCAATTTCTTGGTTATCCTCCATTACCTATGGCAAAAGGATAACTAAGTATGCATAATAATGACCTAGTTGGAAACAAGGAGCCAGAAAAAGCAATTCCTACCTGTGTTTGTCGACCTATATAGCGGTGGTGTATCCCACCGATTTCAAAAGATGGCCATTCGGCAACCAACTCAGATAAACATGAAATCTTGGACAAGGAATATGCACCCTTTCTATTACGCCCACGCAACAAGGTTGACAAGCTAGTTTTGACAGACTGCAGGAACTTGTCTGCATGTTCCCCGGGTTCAGCAACCACAAATACATCGTTCTGCCAACTGCAACAGTAGTTTTGTGTCACATACTTCATAACTATAAACCAGAAACAAAATAAAATATGCTAAAGCATGTGAAAGATACCTCAATACTGAACCAGTTGAATCGTTTTGAAGAGCCAAGTGTATCACACCCACTTGAGGCATATTCTGCAGTTTATCATACAATGACCGAACATGTGCAGATGGCTGTCTTGACTTCAATGGTGATGTTGGTGGTGAGGACTTTGTAGTTGGGTGGCCATCCAAACTAAGTGGAGGAACTAGGTCAATTCGACCGATTCGTTGAGTGCCCTCTGGACTATATAGAAGTGGACTAGATGGGAAACTTCCAGTAAACAAGGGAGAAGTTATTGGGGTAGGAAGTGCAGTGGCTGGCTTCCCAAACCCAGAAGCGCTATTCATTACAGCTAACCTAATACCATTCTGGGAGCAGAAAGATTCAAGGGAACGTGCATGATTAATTTTCTTCCCAAAATCAGGATTAAATGAAGCCTCTACAAGTAAAACCACACGCCTCCATCCTAAGGTAGGATTACTTTCGCTGAAACCTGTTAAGGGAGGATAAAAAACAATCAACCAGATTCTAAACATTTTTTTTTAAAAAATGCTGATTTTCGGGAAAGACGAACCTTGATTTAACAATGTCAGTCTTGAAAATGAAAGGGATTTGTAAATATCTGATGACTTTTCTTCCTCTTGGTACCTTGGGACCAGAAGCTCACAAAGATTCTTGAAAGACAGAAAGTTCTTCTGAATGTACTCATCAGTTGCAGATTCCAACTTAAGCCAGATAGCAGGATCAGTTTCATCTAACTCCATACCACACCGTTCATCCACTGCCAACATGGGAAGAAGTTCACTCATTTGAATATGCGGGCTAATTAGGTTGAAACGTATCAAAAGTAGTACACAACAAATTATGGTTATGTTGCTACAGATCCCAACACGTTAATAGTTTCTCTTCTAGCAAATGCTAAGAGTTTCCTTTGAAATTGAATTACCTGGATTAAAGCGGAAATATTGCATTTCAGGAAGCATCGGTATCAGTGTATCCAAAGTTTCTTCAACTCTCTCCACTGAGCTTGCACTTTCTATTAACACTTGCCCTGTGTCCAAGTAGCGCCATCCACCTCGTCGACTCTAGATACAGACATGGAATAAACCTATATATAAGTTGGACCAAAGATGTATATTTCATATCAAAGTTCACTGGGAGTCTAAATGTATTGTAGTGTACAAATTAAATTTCAAATTACAACTTACAAGAAACCAGTACTCATCTTTGATCATTTCAGTATCTCATAGTAATAGATGTATGCTTGTTTTCTACAAGATGTAGGCCAGTATGTCCTCCTTAAATCCTCCTTCAACCTAATTAGCCTACCCCAACTTGCTTGGGACTGAAAGGCTATGTTGTTGTTGTTGATTTTCATAGAAATCGCTAGTCAAAGTGTCACCTTGTAAGCCGCATCAATATCCTAAGTGTCATATATTTTGGACCAGAGTATAGAATAGATATGTAGTTTTCTTACGAGGTACTTAAAGATTACAAATCCAAAAGGCAGAGTCATAATTGGAAATGAACCAAGTCTAGCCTACAAATCTAAAAGTCTGGTCCTCTGTTGCTCGATATTGAACCGATGAAACTCCTCAATGACAATATACCATTCTGTATATGTGTTTGACATCTTCCAACAGCCCAGGAAATAAAAGTTATTTTCATAAGTAAATTTCTGAAGTATTCAGAATAGTACCAGTTGCTGAGTATTAGATAATTTCAACAACAAAGCGAGAAGCATTGAATTACCTTAGTTGGAACTGAGCCACATCCTATCGAGACTAGACAATCTATTCGTGTATCTGGCCACAAAAGTTGTGCTTCTCTAATGGCAAAGATTGTAGGATTGTTGGCTACAATAGCTCCATCTTGCCAACGATTTGCATCTGGAAAAAAATGATAAGAAGAAAAAATAACAACTGAGGAACATTTGATATCAAAAGGCCTTCAAGAAAATAAGGCATAGTCTGTATTACACAAAATAGATGTCATAGCTGAGTCTACGAATATTACCTACAGAGAAATCATCCAGATAATATGGTGCCGCAGACGATGCTCTTATCGCTTCCCACACGCGATACTTGCAGCTGCCCATGAAGGCACCACGTTTAATACCAACTGGCGCACCAGAAACAGCCGTACCAATTGCACCAATTGATGGACTTTCTGCCATTCCTGGTGATACCTCCAGGGTGCCAGGAGGATACTGCAACATGCTATCGAGTTAACATACAGATATATATTCCAAATACTCAACAGTAAAGGGAAAAGGAATGACACAACTTTGAAGCTATGTCCATCTGGACAGCATACATTTTTTATGAACAACGAAATATAGAGGGTACAATTTGACAATATATTCCTATTTAATTTGGTTCCATCATACAGCTTACAAACTATTCCGGAACTGAAAAGAGAAAACAATCAGGTGGGATAAAAGGACAAACCTGATAGTTTCGGAATATATACGGTTGAGCAGGCATGACACTGACTAAAGTGGATACAGCAAAAACCTTCGGAATGCCTTTTACAGCAGATTCAATTAGAAGGTCACCATCTTCATCGGCACACATCTCCTTTAGTAACCACTCAAATTGATCTGCACTGTGCTGTAATTAAGTCCTTAGTCAGTAGTCCATTGTGCACAACATGAAACATGACACATGATATCAAATTTATCACTTCATTAATACCTTGGACCCATGTACAACCACTCTAAAACTTTGTGATGAACTTTTGAAAAGTTGATCAATCTTCTCTTTCCACGTAGCAGCTTCGTCCTTTGGGATAGGTTCAGCAAATACAAGTTTTCCTAGGAAAATCAACAGTTCAGTTGGCAACACATTGGCATCGGCAAGGAAACTTCAAGAGGCAAAAGAGAATCACCAAGTTTTGTGTATATTTCTTCACACTGATCCAAAGTCATCTGCTTGATCCCAAGAGCCATTGCAAGCATGCCACCAGTGGATGTACCACATATGAGGTCAAACATTTCATGTATGCGTTTCCCAGTTCCTTGCTCTATCTGTTTAAGCATTTGAACAGTTGCAAGGCCTTTCATGCCACCACCATCCATTGATAAAATGCGTAGACCCTTCTTTGCAACTGGCCTTCCTCTTATTGCTCGACGCAAGTTCTCATTCTCCCCTAGATGGTTTGAAAAGATTCATAAACACATCAAGACATGTTACTGCTTGTTCACAAGGAATGATAGTAACGACCAAAAACTAGTATACCTAGGATTGCCAAAGCACGTGCAGCTGCCTTGCTGACACGACACTCTTGTGAAATAGTTAAGCGAATTAAAAGGTCACGCAAGCTTTCAGAATGCATGAGGGTGCGACGAGTCTCCAAGCAGAAAGCCAAATTGCCAACTGCAAACAGAGATAGACGTTGCACCTAACAAAAGGAAGCAAATAATGATGAGCTCTCTGGTGATTATCCAAACAACATATCAACTAGAGTCTAAATCCAGTTCATCTTGCCTCAGAGTTCTTGTGTGCGCAAAGTGCTTTCAATGACTTCAACACATCTTTTGTCAACATCTTTTGAGCAACATGATCAGAAACGAAAGTTAAGGTGACTACCACTTGCAATACTGATACTAGTTCTTCTTCATCAGATGATTTTAGTACAGCTTCAATAGGCTTCATAATGTCACACTTAATCAGCTGCATTGCTGAAGAAATATCAGATGCCAGTGATGAAATAGCAAGACATGCTTGCTCAACCTGCAAATGCAATTAAAAAATAAAGAAGAATAAGGAAATGTTCAATGCTTGAACATGACTCACTAAATAAAGGTAGTTTGGGTGTGTAGTGTGTACCACATGACGATTATCACTGCTTATCATGCTTATAAGCTGCCTGACAGCATTCTCTTCTTTGCTAATTGCAATATGGTTGCTACGATCTTCCATTATTTTGGCCAAAGCAGAAGCTAGCAAAGGATGGTGACAGGAAGAGAAACGGAAAACAAGAGAGAAAAAGGCACTAAGTTTGTGCCTGGCCGCAATGAAGTAGGAACTATTCTCAGTCTGAAATAAAATCCAAACGCCCTTATCAGAAAAGTTGATAGTTGTGGGATGACCTAACTAAGAGAACAACAGAAGGCCATTACAGTTTATGTACCTCTATTTGTACAGTGACAGATTTAAGACTTTCCACTGCTTCAATTCTAATATTTGCAAGTGTGAGATGCCTGAGGTTATGCAGTGGCAAAATTTCTGGAAGAAACTCTAGAGGATTTCCAAACAAGCGCAAAATTCGGAGCTTGGGCATTGATCTGTGGGAAACAGATAAAGAATCATGAGGAAATGGCACCAATTAGAAGCCATCACTGTAACAAAGAACTCCACAGTTAAACATCAAATAACCTGAAATCCAATAGTGGCCGGACAAGCTTGTTATGTTCTAATGATAACTCCTCCAGCATAACACATTGCCGCAGTTCTACTGTTTGTGTGAGAAACAAAAAGAAAAAAATTATATGTTGCAAGGGCCAAGGGCAATTGATTAGGTATGATCCTGAGCGAATGGAAGTCTGCACAAGCTTGAAGATATAAAGCACCAGCTTTAGAGCAATGTAAATTTAACTGCATGTGCACACTAACCAGGGACAGAAACTAGCATGTTGTTGTTAACAGACAGCACTTTCATATTCTTCAAAGCACCAACTTCAGGGGGCAAAACTGACAATTTATTGTTGTCAAGATATAGCTTCTCCAGAAGTGGAAGGCGAGTTAACTCAACTGGAAGCACCTGCCAAAATTTTTGTAGCAATTCATGGTTAGAATGATTAATATCTCCACCCATTGCTCTAAATTTCATAGCCAAATAGACAGCTGACAAGGCAACATGAAACTTGGGGATTTACTCAACACAAACAATGTATGTTCGCAAAGCAGAAACAGCAATAGTAATTAGTAATGCAGCATTCCTACATCCTCTTCTGTTTTACCTCTCATTTACCTGAAAACATGTTTTCAGCCTCTTGAAACAAATGACATCCAGTTTACGGTTCAATTTGGTCGTTTCGACTCTTTGTTTTTTCATGGTGCGCATGTTCTAAGGTTTGAGTCAGGGATGCTTGTTTATTTTTTTTCTCCTTTTGGTTTTGTAACTTGTTACTCTTCCTTAATGAAATGGCATGCAGCTTTTCGTCTTGTTTGACCCAAAAAAAAGCTGACATCAAACTCTCATTGGGCATAAACACTTGTAGTCATTCAAGAGGTCTGACTGACTACCCAAACCCCAGTTTAGCATCTTCTGCATCAATAACTGAAATGTGCTATCTGTTTCCTTCCCTTTATGGGAGACCTTGAATGCGCCTTTTTCCCATCCAACAAAAAATACATCAAATAGTAAGCTTATGTCAGATAATAGTGTGCCATACAAGAAGATGATTTAGCAAAGTAACAAGGAATTATTTCTTCCTCCGTTTTAATGCTGACTTAGCAGCTCACGCATAAGTATATGCATTACAAAAATGATTTCCTTTTACCCTTTATAATCATGATATTTTAGTATTCTATATATTTTGCATGAGTAAACATACAGGTCTGTGCAATTTGAGTAATGGGCTCACAGCAAGATTCATTTGTCCATCATAAGGGTCATCATATGACCTTTTTGTAGCATGGCCCCATCTCCTATCTCCTATACCTAAATAGGAGAACCCCACTAGCTGATTTCTGAAGGGCAGGCCTGGTGCAGTGGTGAGAGCTGTCTCACTGAGTCACCAGGTCACGAGTTCGAAGTAGCCTCTCCGCATATTTTGCGGGGGGAAGGCTTGCCTCGTTTTTTCCCTTCCCCAGACCCCACTCATGTGGGAGCCTCCGGCACTGGGTCTGCCCTGCCCACAGAGACTCCACTACAAGCCCGGCTTCCTGTCAAGCAACATAGTGTCCTGTCCTATTTTCACGTCGTGCGCACATTCACTTCGGTAGCTCGAGAGACACTCTCGATCGGTTCCCAATCCTGTTGTGCAAACTGAACGATCATTATTACTGTCCGCTGGTCTCCCTCCACCTGCTCGACTTTCCCTATCCCTTTAAATTACCAGCTGCCACCACTGAAGCATGAAGGGCTGCACCAAGCCTCTGTTTTGGTCCATCTCTCCGTGAATCCATCTCGCATGCATGGCAAAGCGAAGCAATCCACTACTTCTGCACAGCTGCATGACTTCGCCTTCATCATAAAAAAATTTCGGCTCCCGTTCAAGGTTATCTTGAATCCCGTGATAGCATTAGACTAAAAAATTAGTATTTCATTTGATTTCTAATTTAATATCATTTCCTCTTTCATTCTATCCTTTCCTGTCATCAGCCGAATGATTTTACTAATCCAACATGCATTGTATTATATTATCTAATTCTCCAATGTGTGATCTCCATGTACTCATGTGACATTTGGTGCGTAACAAGCTCCCATCCACAGGTGACAACCCAAGTAATGTTCCCTTCGATCTGTACACTATTTTTTTCTCACGTCTTGCTTTTCAGAAAGAATCATTTGTATTTCCTTCATTATTTATTCATAATGGATTGCTATCTGCCGCCTCCACGTGAGTATTGGATGGTTTCCTCTTTCCTCTGTATCTATATATATTTCTTTATCAAGTGATATTGTTTGATTGACAGACGTTTTGTCAAGCTTCTTATTCAGTGAAGATGAGCCACGATCTTCCATATCGTTTAAGATTTCAAACTAAAATCATGAAAAAGCCAATACTATTCTGTAATGGGACTTTTTCTCTATATGTATACAAAAAAGAATGCATAGATGCCCCTGCCATATACGCGAACTCTGTACAATGTTTCCTTAAAGGGTGAACCAGTAAAATGATGTTAATCTCTGTCCTATTCACGTCATTATTCATCGTTTATCTGAATTTTCCTTTAAATTCCACGGCAACACACTATAGAGTTGTTAGTATAGTGAATATATCACTTCTCTCTCTATGAATTCTCTTTCTATATAACGCTACAAAATTCCGCAGCAACGAGCAGGGTATCATCTAGTTTCTTTAATGTCTTGGCACTGCCATGAATAAAAAATGGTATAATGATGGACTAAATAATTTTATTCAAATTGAGAAATGCTCAAATTTAGAGGGGCATAGTCCATTTCGACCAAGTCCAATTTAGTTAACTGCTGATCTTTTTAAAGAATAAAGAATAGAATCACAATTTTAAGCTTTCACCAGCATGCTCCACTGGAGTGGAAAAAATGTCTAACCCCCTGGCAAAATCCTAAAATGCTAGGATTTTTAACATAATATGAATAGTAGTGACAAGATGCCTTGCAACTACAGTTACTAACCAATGTCCCAACTCCCTTATCTATTTGCTTTAGTGATGGATGAGGTCACAAGGGACATACAAGGGGACATCCCTTGGTGTATGCTTTTCGCGGACGATGTAGTGCTAGTTGATGAAAGCCGAACAGGAGTGAATTAGAAACTGGAGTTATGGCGGGAGACTTTGGAGTCCAAAGGTTTTAGACTCAGTAGAACTAAAACTGAGTATATGAGATGTGACTTCAGCACTACTACTCGGGAGGAGGAAGATATTAGTTTGGAAGGTCAAGTAGTGCCTAGGAAGAATACCTTTCGATATTTAGGATCAATGCTACAGAGAGACGGGGATATTGATGAAAATGTTAGACATAGAATCAAAGCAGGGTGGATGAAGTGGCGCCAAGCATCTGGTGTCCTATGTGACAAAAGGGTACCACAGAAGCTAAAAGGCAAGTTTTATAGGACGGCGATTAGACCTGCTATGTTGTATGGTGCAGAATGTTGGCCTACGAAAAGACGACATGTTCAACAGATAAGTGTCGCGGAAATGCGTATGTTGCGTTGGATTTGCGGTCATACAAGAAGGGATCGAGTTCGGAACGATGATATACGTGATAGATTAGGGGTAGCACCAATTGAAGAAAAGCTTGTCCAACACCGGTTGAGATGGTTTGGACATGTCCAACAGAGACCTCCAGAGGCACTGGTGCGTAGTGGAATCCTAAGCCAGGATAGTAACGTGAAGAGAGGCAAAGGAAGACCGAAGTTGACTTGGGTAGAGGCAATAAAAGGAGACTTGAAAGGATGGAATATACCCAAAGACTTAGCCTTAGATAGGAGTGCTTGGAAAACAGCTATTCACGTGCCTGAACCTTGATTGCTTCTGCTGGGTTTCAACTCTAGCCTACCCCAACTTGTTTGGGACTAAAAGGCTTTGTTGTTGTTGTTGAAAATGTGATCAGCTTGTTAACATACTTAGTAGTTAGTTCAAAATTTTCCATAGTCAATCAGGTATAAGCCTACTCAACATGATATAAATCACCCAAAAAGATCCTAATGCCATTTCACCATCCCAGGTACAACGTTAAGGCTAATTCACAAGAAAGATACAGGTCGTAACCATTTATCAAACAGATATAGGAAGCAATCATTCCCATTTCTCATACAACCAGATGACTGTACATCGCCCTGGGGCAACCATAGCAATCATAATTCACATGAGCAACATCAGAACAATCAAATAGTTGAACTTGGTTGCAGAAGTTTAGAGCATCCAAGGTCTTTTCAAACAAGTAACATTAACAAACTAACACAATCCACTGTTAAAACTGATCAGGATCTCTAAAACTAGCACAGAAACACCTAAGGTAGCACAACGCCACATCCGAGATAGCCTAGCAGCTACAGCATTACTTTAATTCTGAGCCAATCTAGCGCGCATGGAAATGATGACTGATGGGAAAAAAAATTTCGCTTGGATCAGAGGCAAGGTAGTGAAGGACGAACTCACCGACATTCCGCAGTTGCAGAGGCTGAGCATGGCGACGGGTCGCCAGTGATCCGCGAGCACGGGCACGCCCGCGGCGGCTGTGGGGCCATCCACGGCAGGCGCGGGCGCGAGGTTGGATCTGATGAGGCGTGAGAGCACCCCCGCGCCATCGCCGCTGCCCAGCGCGGACCCGGGGGCCCGCGACACGCGCACGGATCGCAGCGCCTCCCGCCTCCTGACTACACGCATCTCGATCCGCACCCCTTCCTCCCCCCCGTCGTCCATCGGGGTCAGGTCAATGGAGACGGCATCGTGGGGCGGGGGCAGCGCGACCATGAGCTGGGACTGGAGGCGTAGCGCGACCTGATCCTCGTCGTCCCCCGCCGACCAGTCGAGCTCGATGCGGAAGCCGAGGTCGCCGTTGCGGGTGGCGGTGGGCGAGGAGGAGGATACAGGGGTCGACGATGCCGAGAAGGAAGGGGAAGAGGACGCCGGAGGGGGCGGGGACGAGGGCTGATGGTCGTCGGTGTCGTCGTAGTCCCCATAGTCGAGCGTGAGGTGGAAGATCTCGGAGCTGCGCTTCCAGCCCAGGCCCCACGACATGGCGGCCGCGCCCTCCGCATCAAAATGTGGATGCGGAGGGCAGGGCTACGGCTCGGAGGCCGGAAAATGGAGTGGTGCGAGGACGGCGACGTCGAGAGCTCGAGCTCGAGGCACGGGAGGGAGGCCGTCCCGGACCCGGAGGAGGGAGGGATCGGGAGGGAAGAAGGGGGCTGGAGTTGGCGTTTGCGCCTGCGCTTGTTTGGTTCGTTTGGTTTCGTCTCTGTGGAATTTCTGGGTTTATAATTGAGGCTTTTACCCGTGTGCAATTAAAAAAGTTTGAAATTACACATAAGTTATTAAAAAGGTTAACCTCCTACGAGTGTCATTGTTCTAAACTTCTTTGATTTTCAACATATTCTATGCTTTTCTATTTAACGATGTCAAACTGACAGATGAAATGACCATTTTACCCTATAGTTAGGGTCGTTTGTTAGCCACACAAACCTTCTCTTTCTTTCTCTTTCTCTTGTGCCTCCATTCCGCGCTCCCCGTGCTCCTGCTCGTCGTCGCGGCGCTGGCAGCGCGGGCGGGGGCCGACGACCTCGCGAGTGACGCGCGGGCCCTCTTGACGTTTCGTGACGCCGTGGGGCGGCGCCTAACGTGGAACACCTTGGACGCTGCGAGCGCGTGCTCGTGGACGGGGTCTCCTGCGAGAACGGGCACGTGGCGGTGCTGCGGCTCCCTCGGGACGACGCTCTCGGGGGCGGTCCCCGCAGGGACGCTAGGGAACTTGACGGCCAGGCACCACAGGTAGCAAGCAAGAGAATCCAGTCCAATCAGGCACCTACACCTGCACGTTGCTCCCAAATTGTATCAGTTGCCGAGGACGAACATCTCGGCAAAGCTAGCAGGAGCAGCAAGCAAGCGCAGGATGCGAGCCGGCGACTGCGCGGTGCAGCAGGCGCTGGCCGTGGACGCGGCGGCCGTGGCCTGGCGGCGCGGCCATGCTCAGGTGACCCCGCTCCATGTCGCCAACGCCATGCTCTCGGTGGCGGGGCTCCTCCGCGCCACCTGCCTCCGCTCCCACTCCCACCCGCTGCAGTGCAAGGCGCTCGAAAGGATCAAGGTGTCCAAGAGAGGGTGAATTAAGCTAATTCTAAATTTTTGTAATAATTAAGCCCTACACTTAGCCCATTTTCACCCCTTGTGCCTAGAATGTGTTTCTATTGTTCTCCCGCACAAAAGTTTTGCACCCTAGGTTTCAATGCTACTCTAGCATGACAATTCTAGGAATGTAAAGACATAAAATAAATTGCTCAAATATAAATGCTCAATGTAAAGAGAGGAAAAGAAACACGACGATGTTTTCCCGAGGTATCGGAGAGTCGTCACTCCCCACTGGTCCTCGTTGGAACACCCGCACAAGGGTGTAGCTCTTCCTTGATCCACGCAAGGATCAAGTGCTCTCTACGGGCTGGTTCTTTGACACTCCGTCACGGTGAATCGCCCACAACCACTCACAACTTGACTTGGGTCATCCACAAGCTCCGCTGGATGATCACCAAGCTCCCAATCACCACCGAGCCATCTAGGTGATGACGACCACCAAGAGTAACAAGCATAAACTCTCACTTGACCAATACAAGCCTAATGAGAAAGATGGATGCACACTTACTACTCCCTATGCACTAATGATGTCATTAATCTTGGATTATCAAATCTTAATCACCCCACTAAGCTCTTGATCTCTCTTGCACTCCAAATGTGTTTCTCAGCTGAACAAATGGACAAGAGACCTCCTATGGATGAGTGGAGTAAGTATTTATACCCCCTCATTCAAAACATAACGTTTGGAGGCTGAGTCATCACTCTGCGGGCTGAGCGGACGCTCCGGTCAATTGTACCCGCTACTGTGTTAGAAAGAGCTGTTAAACTCTGATCTGACTCTAACCAGCGTTCGGTCAGCACCCACCGGACGCGTCCGGTCATCAAAAACCCTCTCTGAAACCTTACTGATGTTGATCGGACGCTGGCACCCAGAGTTCGGTCGCTTCTCTGTTTAGTGTCTGGTCCGTGGTCAACAGCCTGTCCACGCTGCTACAAATACGGCTAGCGTCGCGTCCGGTGAGCACTGGTGTCCAGCGTCCGGTCGCACTCTAATAGCTACTGCCGATCAAATGAACTGACCGGACTCTCCAAGCTGCGTCCGGTCACAACCAAATCAGCGTCCGATCAGTCATTTGACTCTCCATTCACTTCCAATTCAAAATTCTTTGTGAATGAAGTTGACTTCTATCGATCTTAGAGCTATTTTCTGAGCTATCTAGTGCTAAGTTTAACAAGTATGCACCACACCTAATCTATTAGACTTACCTAGGTTAAGCTACTAGTCCATACCCCCTTTAATAGTATGGTCAAAGGAAAAAACAAAGTCCTAAACTACTCTAAATGTCTCTGTAACACCAAACGACACTTAGAACTAGTCTGTCCTTAACCTTGTTATCTATACTTTAAAAACCAAAACGATTTCTTTCGACAGGGGCATGACAACCATGATTGCCAATTCAATTTCTATTACCATGACCTAACTCAAATTGCCTCTGCAAATGTAACACCTCGGTTGTTTAAATATTAAAAACCGGACATATCATCATATGCATTGCAAGGAATTGGTCATGTTGCAAATTTTGTTATGCATTCACTAAAACAAGTTTACATTTATGTTATAAGTATTGCTTGGTATTGTTTGAATCAAGTTTGAAATCGTTGTATTGATTTGAAATTCCGAAAACCCTGATTTTCAATATTTAAATCCGACCCTGAAAATCCATTTCAAAATCAAAGCATATTTTGGGGTTGAGTCTTAAAGCAAAGTTGTAGAGCTTTTCGAGTTGTACAAAGTTTATTTTTGGAGTTTTTCAAGTTGTTTAGTAAAATTTGAAGTTATTTAAAAAGGCAAAATTCCTTAAATATCCCCGCTTTAAATTCAAAAATTCATTTCAAAATGTAGGCCGAATTTGAGTATGGTTTCAAAAGCAAAGTTGTAGAACTTTTGATTTTGAACAACTTTTGTTTTTGGAGATTTTTGAGTTGTTATAAAAATTTGGGAGTAATTTGGGAATTTTGGCGGATGGCAATTCTGTAATTTCGATGAACAGTAACCGCGGAAGCCAACTCATCGCCGACAATCTTCGGTTTGCTTCCAGGCGCGGTCGTGGCCATTTTTGGCGTTGCGCTAGCACGGTGAAGGCCACAGCGCAGCTTCTTTGAGCTTCTGAGCCGTGTTATTTGGACCGAGGCGCCGTCGTCGTCGTTCTTTTCTCTTGCTCTATTTTCTCCCGCCGTCACCGCCATTCTCCGTTGAGCCCTCGCCGTCGAACCAGCGTCTGCGCCGTCGCAGCGATGCGTGTTCCAGCTCCGCTAGTTCCTTGCGCACCCAGCCAGCTAGCTCTAGTCGCTTGATTTCGCCGTGAACTCGTCGTTCATCGTTTTCTTCCTCGTGGCCGGCAGCACCACCGTGGTGTGCGCGTCGCCGTGGCCAGCGTGTTACGGTGAGCCTCTGCTATTTCTAACTCTTGCTTCAGCTTCGCCTCGATGCCGTGGTGCTTTGTGCCCGGTTGATTGACCATTTCCTCCACCGCAGTCACCGGAGCATCGCCGTCGTCGAAATTTGCTCCGCCGTGACCGCTGTGACCGTCGAGCCGTGTCTCCGTTGCTTCTCAGGCTCGGCCAGCGACTCTAGTGTGTTCGGGGTGAGCTCCTGGTTCTACCCGAGTTGTTTGTTTCATCGTTACCGAGCTCCTATCGCCGGCGTAGCGCAGCCGCGCTGTCGTGTCCGCCATGGCCGTCGTCATGCTCATGCGCCGCTGTAATTGATCCAGATTGTGCCACCAATCGACGCGTAGGGGTGTAGGGGTCATTTTAGTACCTTGGCCGTCGCCGTTGAGCTCGTCGTCGGCGAGTTTTCGCTGGTCAGCGCGCGTGTCGCCGTGGTCAAAGCGCGAGGTAGAAGATGACAAGTGGGACCCGGTTGTCAGTGACTCAGCGTTCAAAATGAATTTTCTGTTTTTCAGATTTAAATGAATAGTGTCTATTTTTGTTATTTTTGTGTAGATTTATTTAGAGCTCCAAAAATTATGAAAATTTTTGTGTGACTTCTCTGTTATGTGTATTATTTAGGAAAAATATGAAATGTTGATTTTCAGTACTTTTTGAATGTGATAAAAATTGCTCAATTAATTAATAAATGAGTTTCCAGGATTTTTCTAGACTTATTTATGTATCCAAAAATTATGAAAATTGTTTTGTCACTTAGTTATCATGTGATGAACATATACAAAAATTTTGAGGTCAATTGGAACAAGTTGATTTATTTCATAATTATTAATTAATTCATTCATTCATAAAAGCAAATTATGGGGGTATTAACCCCTATACCCTTACGGCTAAGCTTGGGTCGGCCTGGATCGATGGGTCCGGTCCATCCGAAAGACGACGCGTGGCCCAGCCAACCCGGTTGGAGTCCTACGCAAGGAGTTAAGGCGGATTTGGCGATCAAGCAGGATCCTGGTCGGTTAGAATAGGAATCCTTATCCGACCACATATGACAATTGTAACTGGCTAGGATTAGTTTCCAGATCTGTAACCCTACCCCCCGGACTATATAAGGCGGGCAGGGGATCCCTCTAAAAAGCATCTCTCATTAACATACAGCAATACAATCAGACGCAGGACGTAGGTATTACGCCTTCTTGGCGGCCGAACCTGGATAAAACCTCGTGTCTGTCTTGCGTCATCGTCTTGTTTGTGGCTTGCGCATCTGTCTGCCGATAATATACTACCTTGGGCATACCCCTAGGTAGACTGCCGACCATATTTCATCGACAGTGGCGCGTCAGGTAGGGGGTGTGCGTACTGCTCTCCAAGCAAACAAGACGGTCATCACCTCCGGCTCCATGGCTACGCCGAACGGCCTCACGTTCACCGTTGGCCAGATCACCTGGACCACCGGCTCCGACAGCTTCATCGTCATGACCACGGAGGAGGCGTGGATTCAGTCT